TAATTCTGCAATCCTTGCCTGACTCTTATGCTCTGTTCATAATGAATTTCAATATGAATATGATGGAGAAAACCCTGTCAAAACTTCTGAACATGCTTGAAAAAGTCCAAGCCTATTTTACTAGTTACTGCTAGTAAACCAAAGGGTAACAGCAAGGCTAAGGCCAAACCCAAGGCCAAACCCAAGCCGAAGCCCAAAGGACAGGTTCCGCTTGGGCCTGAGAGTGGCATGGGGAAGGGCAAGGTAGTTTGCTTCTTTTGTGGCAAGCCTAGCCACTAGAGGAAACACTACAAGGCTTTCCTCGCAAGCAAGAAGAAGTCAGAGGCTACGAGTTCATGCATTTATATGATTGAGATTAATTTCTCTCCCTCGACATCTTGGGTCATTGACACAGGATGTGGTACTCACATTTGTATTGATGTGCAGGGACTAAGGCAGAGTAGAGTGCTTACCAAGGGAGAGGTGGACCTACGAGTTGGAAATGGAGCACATGTGGCTGCATTGGCTATAGGCACTTATTGTTTATCTTTGCCTACGAGCTTGTTATTGGAACTACATAACTATTATCACATACCTTCTATTTCTAGAAATATTATTTCAGTATCCGCTTTGAATAATATAGGGTATCATTTTGAGATATTAATGGATTGTTGTCCTTTAGTTTGAATGGTATTCTATTTGGAATTGCAAGGTTATATAATGGATTATATGTTCTTGATTTAAACAATAAAGATATTCTCAATATTGAAACCAAGAAAGCTAAACATAGCGATCAAAACTAGACATATCTCTGGCACTGTAGATTGTGTCATGTTAATAAGACCCGTATTGCAAAACTTCAAAGGGATGGAGTTTTGGCCCCTTTTGACTTTCAGTCATTTGAGGTATGCGAGTTATGCCTGTTAGGCAAGATGACCAAGTCTCCTTTCACAGGACAAGGTGAAAGGGCTACTGAGCTGTTAGGCATCATCCATAGTGATGTATGTGGTCCACTAGCAGTTGAGGTCGAAGGTGGATATTCATACTTCATCACATTTACTGATGATTTCAGTAGATATGGTTATGTCTACCTTATGAGACATAAATCTGAAGCCTTTGATAAATTCAAGGAATTCAGGAATGAAGTACAGAATATGTTGGGCAAAAGTATTAAAGCTCTTCGGTCGGATCGAGGAGGTGAATACTTAAGCTCAGGGTTTTCAGAGTACCTGAAGGAATGTGGGATATTATCACAACTCACCCCTCCTTATACACCCCAACACAATGGAGTGTCATAAAGGAGGAATAGGACCTTACTTGACATGGTTAGGTCCATGATGAGTTTTAGTGATTTACCTGCATCTTTCTGGGGTTATGCCCTAGAGATTTCGACTCACGTTTTTATTCGTGTGCCTTCAAAGTCTTTAGATAAGACTTCATATGATCTATGGAGTGGGCTAAAGCCTAACTTGTCTTATCTAAGGATTTGGGGTTGCGAAGCTTATGTTAAGAAATTGACTTCGAACAAGCTGGGCCCAAAATCTTGTAAATGTATATTTGTGGGGTATCCAAAGGAGACCAAAGGATACTATTTCTACCACCCAGAAGAGCGCAAAGTTTTTGTTGCTCGATCTGGTGTCTTCCTAGAAAAGGAATATTTTCTAAGAAGTACTAGTGGGAGAAAAGTAGAACTCGATGAAGTTCTAGAACCACAAGATATACTAGACGAAGGACGGGATGATATGCCATAGGAAGTGGTTAAACATCATGAGAAGTTTACTCCACAACTTGTGGATCAAAGTGAACCACCTTAGGTAGCACAGGAGCTACGTAGATCTAGGAGAGTACACCATGAGCCCGAGAGATATGGTTATCTCGTGACTCAACATGGTGACGTACTGGTCTACCAAGACGATGAACCCAGAACCTACGAAGATGCTATATCGAATTGAGATGGACTCCATGTACCAAAACCAACTATGGTCTCTGGTGGAACCACCTGAAGGGGTAAGGTGTAAATGGGTCTTCAAGATGAAGACTAATATGGATGGCAACATGCATACTTATAAAGCACGGCTAGTTGCCAAAGGTTTCAAACAAATTCATGGAATTGATTATGAAGAAATCTTTTTGCCGGTTCCCATGATTAAATCCATCCAGATTATGCTTGCAATTGCTGCATATCATGACTATGAGATTTGGCAAATGGATGTCAAAACTGCTTTCCTGAACGAAAACCTTGAGGAGGATGTGTATATGACACAACCTGATGGTTTCATTCTTGATAGTCAAGCTAATAAGGTGTGCAAGTTGCAGAGATCCATTTATGGACTCAAGCAAGCTTCAAGGAGCTGGAACATTCGTTTTGATGAATCCGTAAAAGAATTCGGTCTTATCAAGAATGAAGATGAGCCTTGTGTTTACAAGAAAGTGAGTGGGAGAATAATATCATTCCTAGTGTTGTATATCGATGACATACCTCTGATTGGTGTCTTGGATTGATGTCTCATGTGCTTTGAGCACTTGTAGTAGATATAAATCGGATCCAGGTGAGCATCATCGGATGGCTGTCAAGAATATTCTTAAGTACTTGAAGAGGACTAAGGATATGTTCTTGGTTTATGGAGGGGAAGATGAGCTCACTGTAAGAGGATACAGTGATGCTGATTTCCAAACGGACAAGGACGATTATCGATCACAATCAAGGTTTATATTTTGTCTCAATGGCGATGCAGTAAGCGGGAAGAGCTCCAAGCAAAGCACTGTAGAGGACTCTACAATGAAGACTGAGTATATTGCATTGTTAGATACAGCTAAGGAGGTAGTCTAGATTAAGAAGTTCGTTACTGAAGTTGGTGTGGTTCCCACGATTGTTGATCCTATAGACATCTTTTGTGACAACAATGGAGCAATTGCTCAAGCCAGGGAACCACAGTCTCATCAGAAATCCAGACACATACTCAGACGATTCAATCTCATCAGAGAGATAGTTGAGAGGAAAGACGTGCATATTAGTAAAGTGCATATTGACGACAATCTCACAGATCCATTAACAAAGCCTCTGTCACAGCAGAAGCATGACAGGCACTTGAGATCATTTGGTGTTAAATACATGAATGATTGGCTATAGTGCAAGTGGGAGATTGTTAGAGTAGATACCCTAGAGCCAATCAATTATTGTCTTTGTAATAATGTTCATTAATCAATAAAAGGCATTTTATTCTATATCGCGTAAATCATTATTATTGCAATATGTATTATATATGTCCTTGGAATGGTAGAACCATGACGAGGGTATCAAGTGTTTCAAATCTTGATAGTGAGAACCCTATGAGCACATAAGGTGACCATTCTAGACACATCTGTAGCCCCAGTATTATTTTGAAGTAAGGGCACAGATAATACGGTAAGGCTATCATGGTGTTGAACGACCCTGTCGAAAGGTAGTGACTGATCTCACTTGTCAAGGTTGTTTGGTGACAACCTGGTGCAACACATGGGTGCTTGCTGTAGGCAAGTTCACTGGACTGACCCACCAGAGGATTCCATATGGATGGTAACCTTAGTGTCTATGGAATAAATCCTCTAACGAATGGTGGTGCATGTGATCCTTAGATTTGAGATCACTGGAGCGCCTTGTGCACCGATTGGTGCAGTTTGACACTAGCCTAATGCAGTTCTATTCAGAGTTGTCAATACGGTGGTGATTGGCTGCATCAAGGAATGTATCAAGACTATGGTGGATTGACAGAGGATTCATCACTCTCGGGTATGGGAGAAGTTATCTTACGCTGCAATTTAGTATATGGCAATGACACAAAAACTGTGGCCACAGTGGGATTGAGTTGTTGCTCTATCTAGATTATAATATAGGTCATTTGTCCAGAAACTGAATACATAATATCGAGAGTAACTGAAGGTTGACACTATTTCTATGCCTTTGTCTCATCGAGATAACTTATGATGAAATGATCGAATTGTATCGTAACCATATCGTTGACAGGTAGCTATTTTGCTGAATCCGAATCTATCGAGTGGCCATGTTGCCTTGCTAGGGGCCAATCTTGGTATGTGCATTAGTGAGACGATAATTGGTGTTAATCACGATACTATACACTGCCGGTATGATGAGGAGCCTATGGGTCACACACATAGAAGATAATTTAAGAGCTAAGAAGAAAGAAGGGCGTTTTCGTCTTTTTAGAAAGGGTATTTTTGTAATTTCATAGTGTAATTAAATTTACTGAGGTCGTAGCCTTTATTTAATTTGTTAGAAAAATTAAATAAGTGAAATTACATTTAAATATTTGTCCGCACATATTTAAATATATTATCATTATTGTTAAATGTTAATATATATTAAATATATATTAATTGATTTTAATTGAGATAATGATGGAAAATAAAATATCAAATTGGGAGTGTTTGGTAACATGGGGTGTTTGGGTTGGAGCCCAAGCCCATTCCATATGGGAATAGGGCAACTTGATTTACTATAAAAAGAAAAAGTGTGTGTTAATTGAAAAGGTAATTGATTTCTCTTTAAAATAAAAAAACACATAGCAGCCCCTCTCATTCTCTCCCACAGCAGAAACACTTTTTGCCTAAAATCAATTCAATTTGATTTCCTTTCTTCTTAATCTTAAAGCCAAAGAGGATCTAGCAAATCCCTCTTTGGTTCTTTTGTGATTGTCTTCGTGTGGACTACGTGGACTCGATCCTACGCTTGGGTCGGTAGCAAAACGTTCAAAGACAAACATGGTGGAGCCTCCAAACATGCGTATGGTTCTAAACTCATGAATAACCTTTTGTGCAGATTTTACTTTAATATAAATTTTAAAATTATACCCTTGATCTTGGCTCATGTAAACGATCCTTGTATTATTATTATTATTTTTTTTTTTTTTTGTTTCCGCTCCGTATATGGATCATTTACTAACACTGATATCTTAGATAGATCCTCAACTGGCCCACTATAAGGGCACTCCTAGATGCAAGGGTCTATGTTGTCCTCTACTAGGCTATGGCTCGATCCTGCTGATCGTCATAGCCTGCTCGGGGATGCCTAGTGGCCTTTCTTTTCCCTTGCACGCCATTTGCACTGCTCTTATGTAGTAGTCACGAGATTCACGTTGAGATCTTTTTACTTCCCCAATCCCCGTCGGAGTGGGGAATTTCATTTTCAAATGATAGATTGAGGTGATGGCCTTAAAACTTTGTGGTAAAGGTCGTCCCAAAATGCCATTAAAGGCAGACGTATAGTCTACTACCAAGAACTCCGTCATCTTGGTCACTTCATTGGTCTCACCCAAAGTGATAGGGAGTGCAATTGTTCCCCTAGGAATCAGATGATCCCCAGTAAACTCGTAGAGTGGGATAGAGGCAGGCTTCAGGTCTGTCTCGTCTAATTGCATTTTTTCGAAAGCTCGCTGAAACAAGATATTCACAGCGCTTCCATTGTCCACCAATATTCTGTGGACTTCACACCAACCTATTTCAGGCGTGATGATGAGTGCATCATCATGGGGATGATACAATCGCACCGCGTCTTTCTCAAAGAAGGTAATCTCTTCTTCCCTATGAACCTTAGCGGGTCGCAGTGCCGTGTTCATCACACTCATGGGGTCATGACGAGCTTCCCCAACATATCTTTCCTGGGCACCTTGAGAATTGTCCGCGAGGTGTGGTCCTCCAAAGATGATCCCCACACAGTAGAGACCTTTACGACCACGACGCTTCTTCCCTTGTTCCTCTTGACCCTTTTCCCGAATGGGAGTCGAACCATCAACATACTCCTTAAAGTGCCCCTGCTTGATGAGGTCTTCAATTGCTTGCTTGAGAGCCCAACACTGATCAGTGTGATGCCCATTATCCCGATGATAGCGGTAATACTTTTTGCTATTCCTGGCTAAGAAGGGATTCTTTATGGGCTCTGGCTCTGACTCTCTGAGCAGGCTGGCCTCCTCTGACTTATCCAGAATGGCTGGCACTAAGGCATTCAAAGGAGTGTATTGGCTTTTGTCGCGATCACGACAAGGAACTTGGGCATAATATTTTTTGGGCTCAAATCGCTGTTTCTTTCCTTTCTGCTGATCGTCATTAGCCCATCTGTGATTAACCTTTCTACTATTCTCCCCTCGGTTGGGAGCACTGGTCGAGGGACCAGGGTCATGGCAATTAAGAGCGACCATATAATTTTTTATTTTGAGATACTTCTTAGTAAGGTCATAAAAACGGGTAAGGGAAACATCATCCTTAGATCATAATTCTTTCCACAAGTCAGTCTATGGGTGAACCCCTACAATAATGAGAGTCCAAACAGACTCTTCGGAAGTGTAAGCCACTTTGTGGAGTTCCTTGTGGAATTTGTCTATGTAAGACTAAAGGGATTCATTCCTCTCCTGTCGTATGTTGCTCAGATAGCTCAACGGCATCGAGAACTTACTTTTCGCCTGGAAGTGCCTCAAGAATGACGAGCTCATTTGTTGCAACGAGTTGATAGATCCTACGGGAAGCAATCTGAACCAGCGCTTGGCATGGGCAGTCAGAATTACTACCAAGCAGTGACATTTAGCCAAGTCGAAGACTTGGTGGAGTTCCATGAGGTCGTTGAATTCATAAAGGTGATCCTGCGGATCAGAATTCCCATCAAACACTCGCATATCGGGCATTCTAAATCTCAACGAGAGAGGAGAAGCTAACACTGCTTGAGAAAAGGGAGACGCCTCGGTGACCTCCCCATGCTCATTTTGTTGAGCTTTAAGCTGATCCAAAGCTCACTGTAATTCCTCAATCTAAGGTAGTGGAGCTACTTGAGGATCACTTTCCGCAACGTGGGTTCGACCCTCATAGTTGCAGTTGAGGAAAGACCGCAAATCAAGCTCTTCCTCAACTCGGTCAGAAGCTTCGGTGAACCTTGACACATGTTAGCTGGGGCTATGTGAAGGCATCGAATAGCTCCGAGAGTTTTTTTGACCTCTATAGTGGTCAGAATCGACCTGCATACGATGGGAGGTTCCTCCATGATGACGATCGAGATCATCATTTCGGTGATATTGGGAATCTCCCTACCTTGAACTTTTGTGGGGGTGTCCATGTGATGTGGCATGGGATGGCTCATGCTGTAACATGTCAGCAAGTCACAATGCCACAAGTATTCTACCCGTTGCATGATTGGTGTTTGTTAGTCCCTCGGAGCCCTTCAGCCCATTGTCCACCACTTGCTTTCCCTTACTTTTACGTGCTGCAACGTGTGCGGTATTGGCTTTAGCCATTTTTCGCGCTTTCACGTGACTTGCAGGCATCTTTGGCAGTGGCACCACCTCGTCGGACTCTGGTGGTACGACCCGATCCAAACAGTCTAACCTTTGGCTAACCATTTGGAGAGTATTATTGAACCTCTCTAAGTAATCCATCACAGCTGGGTCGAGTTATGAGCTCGAAGGAATATCCGCCATTGTACTCTGCTAGACTGGAGGCACTTTGGGAGAAGTGTCATCCTGTGCCCGGGGGATCTCCTCATTGTCGAGGTTGGTTTGCTCAGTTTCAAAACCACGACCCATTTGTTGATGGATATGACGATTGGTCAGAGATTCCTGATGAAGAGCGGATACTAAATCAGGCCCTCCTTCTATCGCCAAACTGTTGATACTTGATTTTGACACCAACGACTCACACATGTAAAGTGCTAAGTGGACTTAGAAATTACACATGATATGGAAATTTGCAACGAGAGAATAAACAAGAGACAATTTTTAAAGTGGTTTGGATGCTAAAAAGCAAATCCTACGTCAATATATTTGTATTGATGGATGATTATAGTCAGGTCGCGGGTAACGACCTAAGTTACAATCTAGAAAGAGAATTTAAATACAAAGAGATAGAATCTGCTCTTGGAAAATTAAAAAATGGACTGATCCAGTAAATGAGAGAGGAGCCCTCTATTTATAGTTGAGGGATTCAAGGTAATAATCATGATTTTGCTATTGGGCAGTTGTGGTACAATTCTTAACCTGCTTCCCACTGGCTGATCGTATAGGAAATATCCTTAAATCGCGTAGGGCTTTCCTAGCCACTCACAAGACAGACTTTCACCTGCCACACTAATAGCAGCCTTACCTCTTCCATCCTTGCGCGACATGGCAGTGTCTGGACAGCAAAAAGTCTTCTTGAACTCTGATTGGTCCTTGCTGGCGTGAGCTTACGTCAGCCCTAATATTTTTAGGCATAACACCTTCAATGCCCATGACTATAATCAAAATTCTACTATGTTACCAAACCCGATAACGTTATCAAATAGATAATCTTTTCACACAATGACGATCCTTATTTTTAGTTTCCAACATGTGCAAACCCCTTGTATACTGCAACCGAAATATTGTTACTTATAATCATAAATATTGATTCTCTAATAAATTACAATATTATAGTATAAATCAAAAGGAATATGTTCGTTTTACTAAAAGCAACACAATTTCCATCCGAACTATCAAGAGTATAAATCTTAATGGTCAATATGAGGTAATGCTGCTTTTGCAACTGAACATAGATTATGAATCATAAATGGGTTAATATTGCCTTTGTATTGGAACCTTGATCATGAATTCTAAGGGTTGATATGAGATACTGTTGCCTCACATCTAGATTGGATCACGAATTCTATGGATTGATATGAGGTAATGTTACTTCACATTTAAATATCTGACCATCAGTCTTAAAGGTGTGCCACCTCACATCTAGAATATTAGATCAAGAATCTTAAAGGTTGAAAACTTGAAATAGAGTAATATTACCCTTGTATCTAAACTTTTAGATCAAGAATTGTGTGAATCAATATGAGGGTTACATTATCTCACATGCTATTAGATCATGAATCTGAAGGCTCGATCAAAGGATAACATTATCTCTGTAACTCCTACATCGAGGTATGTAGCTTTACTTATGCCCTTTTACCCTTAGTTGATTTTTGTTAAAGTTATTTTGAAAAAGTGTGAAGAAAATGCCTTCAAATTTCATTAGGGTTAAAATGATCTTTTCACTCATAATTAGTTGAAAAAGTGGGGAGTGAAAAGAGATAGAATAACATGGAGAACTTAATAAAAATAAGGGCATTTTTGTAACTAACCAAAGGACATAGATGGAATTTCATAGAAAGTGCAAGGGCAAAATGGGAAACTATAAATAATAATATGTTATATCAAGAATTGAAGAATGAAGCCCTAGCTAGTCTTCATCCAGTTTCACGCCACCTTCACCTTCAAATCCTCTCAATTTCTCAATTCTTCTTCAAGGGAAATTCATAGATTTTGAGTACTTTTTAGTTGATTTTCAATCCCAAGCATCCTTAAGTAAGATCCTTGCACCAAGAAGTGAGTTTTAATTTTTAAAGTGTTGAATTTTGATGATTTGTGTTCATAGGATTTAAGAGAAAGAGAATTGGTTCAAAGAAGATTTTTAAAGTGTTAGATTGCTCACATATAAGGTAAGTAAATCCTACCCTAAGTATGATTTAAGTAATATTGTATAGAGAATTCCTTTTATGCATATATATGTGTTTTATATGAAGAATTGTTGATGGATTTGGTATTGAATGGTGATTAGAACTTATCAGTAAGAAGTAGTGTTGGTATTTTTGATATTTGATGCGAGTTTGGATGAAATTTGGAAGAATTGGAGTAGAAATTTTGGACAGGTTTGGTGTTAAATATGGAGGATGTTATACCAAATTTTTGGTGGCTTAGAAAAGAGATATAAGTGTAGCCAAATTAGAGTTGCTTTGTGCACATAAGTTGTTTGATGAAATGTCAAAGAGAAGTGCATGTATGATGATTATGTGTTATATTGAGATGAGTTTGTAGATGGTAGAGAATGAAATGTTCGCATAATTGCATTTAAACATGTGAATTTAGAAAGAATCATAAGCATGAAACCATCTACATGCATACATACTCATAAGAGCATGAAAAAGCACTAAAGAATGTTAAAGAGTAAATAGAAAGAAATGAGAATATTACAGAAGTTCAAATCTGAATTTTTATTTAAAGAAGTGTAAAAAGATAAAAAGAAGAAAAAGTTGTTGCAATGGGGATGTTAGAGTAGATGTCCTAGAGCCAATCAATTATTGTAGAATTGACTCTTTGTAATAATATTCATTGATCAATAAAAGATATTTTATACTATATCGCGTAAATCATCATTGTATGTATTGATATATGTCCTTAGAATGGTAGAACCGTGACGAGGGTATCAAGTGTTTCAAATCTTGATAGTGAGAACCCTATGAGCACATATGGTGGCCATTCTAGAAACGTCCGTAGCCCCAATATTATTTTGAAGTAAAGGGCACAGATAATACGGTAAGGCTATCATAGTGTTGAACGACCCTATCGAAAGGCAGTGACTAATCTCACTTGTCAAGGTTGCTTGGTGACAACCTGGTGCAACACATGGGTGCTTACTGTAGGCAAGTTCACTGGACTGACCCACCAGAGGATTCCATATGAATGGTAACCCCAGTGTCTATGGAACAAATCCTCTAACGAATGGTGGTGCATGTGATCCTTAGACTTGAGATTATCGGAGCACCTTGTGCACCGATTGGTGTAGTTTGACACTAGCCTAACACAGTTCTATTCATAAATGTCAATACGGTGGTGATTGGCTGCATTAAGGAGTGTATCAAGACTATGGTGGATAGATAGAGGATTCATCACTCCCAGGTACGGGAGAAGTTATTGTTGCGCTGTAACTACAACATGACATATAGCAAGTGCACTAGTCATAAAAAGTAATAAAGTGATAAGAAAAGTATCGTTCCCACGAGGATTGGTTGTTAAGCACTGATTTTCCTAATTGTTATCAAGTTGGAGAAATCGAAAAGTGTTTGGATTGACGGGAGAAATTTAAACTAAAATGAAAACAAAATTTACCAAGTATGTAAAAGGCTAATTAATGAAAGCAAGATTAAAGCAAGAGTAATATCAAGTAAGGCAAACGGTTAGGGTTTTGACTTCATTAGGATTCTATGAATTAATCTACGAATTATGTTACTTCTACACTCACATGCACAGAGTGTAAATCGAACTCCCTAATAAGTTTTCCCTATTAAGTTTCCGCACCCAACAATTTGAAGATTAATAGATCCAAGTTCATTACGCTAATGGAATCCTAGATTGATTTCATTGATTCTCAA